TTATTATTCAGAGGCCAAACAATTTATTTAACTTCCCGAAGGAGAAGTTTGTGTTTTCATCAAAAAACTTTAAAAATTCGTCAAAGTTTGCAAAAATTGATATCGTTTTTCGGCATTTGTCAAAATTAACCCTTTCATCGACGTTTTCTCAAAAACGCCTGAACTGATTTCAGAAATTTAAAAGCCATTTGATGAGGACTATCGTTGTCAGTTTTTGCGACGATCTGCCAAGCCGTTTATTTGTTATTTGAAAAAAAGTGTTAAACATTTCGTCGACATTCTAGCCTAGCTCATCCTACCGAACTGATTTTTAAAAATCACAAACTGTTCGAAAGATATTAGTTGGGAATGATACTGATTAGTTTTAGGTGAAAATCTACCGAGCCGTTTTCTTGTAATTAACTGTTGAAAAAAAAATTTAAGCAGATTTTTATGGATTTTTTTTTAGCGATATATATCATGCTCTCATAGAACTTACTGTAATATTACGGCCTTACGACAAGTAGTTTAATTTTAAAAATTCATCAAAGTTTGAGAAATTGAGTAGTTTTTTTGACGTTAGCTAAAATTAAAATTAGACGATTTACCTGGTATAACAATATAGTAATTGGTCTTAATAAACATACTAAACCATTAAAATCCTACGGAAACTGGTTCAAATATAATAATTGTTGATTTTTGAAAAGTTGCATTTTGAAAATACTCCGAGTTAACGTGTTCGTTCGTTTTCAATTATGTATAATAAATCCACTCATAAATTACATTATTTTTCATTGATTAAGTCGATTATTTACATATATTGGGAAGTTCATGTAACTTGCCTCAAGGCTAAATACCAATACCAACTAGTTTATTTATTTATTAACTTCCCGTACGGTAAGTTATTGCAATGGGCCAAAAATCGGAATTGAAAATTTTAACATTTCTCGACGTTTTGAAAGTTTCTGAACATTTTGGCATACTTCAGAAAAAATTTATGTGTGTGTGTGTATGTATGTATGGATACAATTTTTCGCCCACGTTTTCGGGCGTACGGATCAACCGATTTGAATGGTTCAAAAAACATTCGATTCCTATTGATAAGGAGATGTGCTGATTAGTTTTTGGTAAAGGCAGGTCCAGCAGTTACGGAGATAAAAAGCAAAGAGTGCAGAAAATAGAAATCGAGTTTTTGAGAGAACGGAGCATCCGATTTGAATGATCTAAAAAACATTCAATTAGTAATGATTGGGAGAATTGGTTAATAGTTTTTGGCGAAGGCAGGTCCAGCGATTTCGGAGATACGGAGCTAAATGTGCAAAAAATGGCAGTTTTTGAGCGAACTAAGCGTCCTTTGATTTGAATTATCTAAAAAACTTTCTGCTTGTATTGACAAAACAATTGCTTTTGGGAAAAAATTTTTGTTTCTAATTTTTTTTTTTCAAAAAATATTTTTGTAATTTTGGATTAAAAATTCAAAAATTTGCCCGGACTAGGCACAGACTAAGCGCCACCCTAGTAGCAACGAATATGAGCTGAATATGTTTTTTGCGTAAGCTAAATATGATTTTCAAATATTGAGCCCATATGATATTGTTAACATTCGGTCATATTCCGCTCAGATTCGTAATGAGGGACGAATGCGGGAATATGATATTTAGCTTATACGATTTGCTTAACATTTTTCCATATTACGCTCATATTCCGAATGAAAGGAGAATATGTGGAAATAATATTTATAACATATTGAAAAACATATATAAACCATATTCAAAATTATTGACCCTATATTCTGAAATATTAAATATTATTTAATTAATATTGAACAAACACCATTAATAAAATTTTTTTTATGTATTCTGAGTAAATATGTACATTTTTTAAATAGTCAATATATTGAATTTTATCAATTTTATTACAATTTATAAATCATTTTTCATGATTATAGGATATATAATATTTAAAATATATTTAGTATCTATAATATAACATTACATACTAAATATATTTTAAATATTATCTATAATATAACATTTTGCGCCATAATTAATTTTATTACAGTCTACATATTATTTTTCATTATTATAGGATATAAAATATTAAAAATATATTTAATATTTATGATACAACTTTTCGTGCCATAATTAATGTTTGTTTGTGTATAAGTACTAATCATTTCAGATATTAAGAGTCCACTTGATTTTCCATGTTAGTGAGGTTATAACAAATTATTATTTCATATTATACACCATTGATTCTATTAATCACTACAATTTCACACACCAAGTTTCGTTTTTAATTTCACAAAATAATATTTTATCCACACATTAACTTTTATTAATTTTATCACAGTTTACACACTATTATTATTGTTTATTACTTGAAGATTTAACAAATTTTTCGAACAACGCTTCGAGAACTTTCTTCTGCAGTGCCATGAGATACGGACTGCTATGTTGATGATATCATTACAGGTGCTGATACTGCGGATGAGTTGGTTAAGATTCAAAGGGAAGTTGTACAGTTGTTAGATGAAGGGGGGTTCTCCTTACATAAATGGTCAAGTAACTGTCGTGAAGTTTTAAGGAAAGTCAAAGCTCTGCTATGGCCTTGTTTTCTGAAGCAGACACTGTTAAAACCTTAATGCTTGCGTGGAATCCTTCACAGCATATTAAGGTTTCAGAAGCGGACATTAGACAGGGAGTTGACACAAAACGATCGGTATTATCAACAATTGCACAGATTTATGACCCAATTGGGCTCATATCTCCAATATCTGTAACTGCAAAATTGATAATGCAGGAGTTGTGGAGGCAAAACCTTGGTTGGGATGAGACTTTGTCACGAGAGTTACAAGATAGGTGGAATCTTTTTAAGGTTCATCTCTCTGATCTAGAGAATCTCAGTATTCCTCGAAATATTTTTAAGTCGATTCCGGTGACTATTCAATGTCACGGATTCTCAGACGCCTCATTGTATGCATATGGTGCCTGCATTTATCTACGGGCAACATATGCAGATGGCACTTTGTCATCAAGGTTACTTTGTTCAAAATCGAAAGTAGCCCCATTAAAAAATGTGACGTTGCCTCGGCTAGAATTATCTGCGGCTTTGCTCTTAGCAAAGTTATTTAGGCAGATGATGACGATCACAAAAATTCCCAATTTCGGAGTCGTTTCTATGGTGTGACTCAAGCATTGTCTTGGCGTGGTTAAAGACAGATCCGTCTCTATTGAAAATGTTTGTTAGCAATAGAGTGGCGGAAATTCTTGATCTTACGCCAGGCATTGCTTGGAGACACGTCTGTAGTAAAGAAAATGCTGCAGACATTGTATCTAGGGGTGTGAAGACGCCAGTAGAGTTAGCAGACTGCAATCTATGGTGGCACGGGCCTGCTTGTCTGCTACAAGATTCTAGTAATTGGCCTAACAGGTTTGCTGATGATGTTAAGGAAGCTATTCCAGAACGGAAAGTGCTAGCAACAACTGTCGGCAACACTAGGAATGAATTAGTAGAAGATCTTGTGGCTAAGTGTCCTCGGTTCAGCAAACTAGTTAGGGTGGTGGCGTTCTGCATCCGATGGATCAACATCATTCGTCTCAAACAAAGAGGTTTACTTTCGGTCGCTGAATTAAACACAGCGACGAAGCGTACCTTTTATATGGTTCAGAGGGATGTTTTTGGTAATATAGGTGAACAGTTGAAGTTAGGTAAGCAATCCAATGCATCTCTTGGTAAGCTGAAAGCTTTAAATCCTTTCGTGCATGCTGAAGACTTACTTCGAGTGGGTGGGAGATTGGAGAATGCCGACATACCCTACGACCCAAAACACCCAGTAATTCTGCCAAAGGCAATGTTGTTATTGATATGGGCTATACTAACGAGTAAAATAAATTTAGAATTTACACAAAAAAGAACTCTACTGACGAGTAAAATAAATTTAGGATTTTCACAAAAAAGGACTCTATTAACGAGCAAAATAAATTTAGAATTTACACAAGAAAGAACTCTACTGACTAGCAACTTAAATCTCTAATTTACAAAAAAAGGACTCTACTAACGAGTAAAATAAATTTAGAATTTACACAAAAAAGAACTCTACTGACGAGTAAAATAAATTTAGGATTTTCACAAAAAAGAACTCTACTGACAAGCAAATAAACTCTAGAATTTACACAAGAAAGAACTCTACTGACGAGCAAATAAACTCTAGAATTTACACAAAAAGGACTCTACTGACTAGCAACTTAAATCTCTAATTTACAAAAAAAGGACTCTACTAACGAGTAAAATAAATTTAGAATTTTCACAAAAAAGGACTCTATTAACGAGTAAAATAAATTTAGGATTTTCACAAAAAAGAACTCTACTGACGAGCAAATAAACTCTAGAATTTACACAAAAAGGACTCTACTGACTAGCAACTTAAATCTCTAATTTACAAAAAAAGGACTCTACTAACGAGTAAAATAAATTTAGAATTTACACAAAAAGGAACTCTACTGACGAGTAAAATAAATTTAGGATTTTCACAAAAAAGGACTCTATTAACGAGCAAAATAAATTTAGAATTTACACAAGAAAGAACTCTACTGACGAGCAAATAAACTCTAGAATTTACACAAAAAGGACTCTACTGACTAGCAACTTAAATCTCTAATTTACAAAAAAAGGACTCTACTAACGAGTAAAATAAATTTAGAATTTTCACAAAAAAGGACTCTATTAACGAGTAAAATAAATTTAGGATTTTCACAAGAAAGGACTCTATTAACGAGCAAAATAAATTTAGAATTTACACAAGAAAGAACTCTACTGACGAGCAAATAAACTCTAGAATTTACACAAAAAGGACTCTACTGACTAGCAACTTAAATCTCTAATTTACAAAAAAAGGACTCTACTAACGAGTAAAATAAATTTAGAATTTTCACAAAAAAGGACTCTATTAACGAGTAAAATAAATTTAGGATTTTCACAAGAAAGAACTCTATTAACGAGCAAAATAAATTTAGAATTTACACAAGAAAGAACTCTACTGACTAGCAACTTAAATCTCTAATTTACAAAAAAGGACTCTACTAACGAGTAAAATAAATTTAGAATTTACACAAAAAAGAACTCTACTGACGAGTAAAATAAATTTAGGATTTTCACAAAAAAGGACTCTATTAACGAGCAAAATAAATTTAGAATTTACACAAAAAGAACTCTACTGACGAGCAAATAAACTCTAGAATTTACACAAAAAGGACTCTACTGACTAGCAATAAATTTAAATTTCACAAAAAAGGACTCTATTAACGAGTAAAATAAATTTAGGATTTTCACAAAAAAGAACTCTACTGACGAGCAAATAAACTCTAGAATTTACACAAAAAGGACTCTACTGACTAGCAACTTAAATCTCTAATTTACAAAAAAAGGACTCTACTAACGAGTAAAATAAATTTAGAATTTACACAAAAAAGAACTCTACTGACGAGTAAAATAAATTTAGGATTTTCACAAAAAAGGACTCTATTAACGAGCAAAATAAATTTAGAATTTACACAAGAAAGAACTCTACTGACGAGCAAATAAACTCTAGAATTTACACAAAAAGGACTCTACTGACTAGCAACTTAAATCTCTAATTTACAAAAAAAGGACTCTACTAACGAGTAAAATAAATTTAGAATTTTCACAAAAAAGGACTCTATTAACGAGTAAAATAAATTTAGGATTTTCACAAGAAAGGACTCTATTAACGAGCAAAATAAATTTAGAATTTACACAAGAAAGAACTCTACTGACTAGCAACTTAAATCTCTAATTTACAAAAAAAGGACTCTACTAACGAGTAAAATAAATTTAGAATTTACACAAAAAAGAACTCTACTGACGAGTAAAATAAATTTAGGATTTTCACAAGAAAGGACTCTATTAACGAGCAAAATAAATTTAGAATTTACACAAGAAAGAACTCTACTGACTAGCAACTTAAATCTCTAATTTACAAAAAAAGGACTCTACTAACGAGTAAAATAAATTTAGAATTTACACAAAAAAGAACTCTACTGACGAGTAAAATAAATTTAGGATTTTCACAAAAAAGGACTCTATTAACGAGCAAAATAAATTTAGAATTTACACAAGAAAGAACTCTACTGACGAGCAAATAAACTCTAGAATTTACACAAAAAGGACTCTACTGACTAGCAACTTAAATCTCTAATTTACAAAAAAAGGACTCTACTAACGAGTAAAATAAATTTAGAATTTACACAAAAAAGAACTCTACTGACGAGTAAAATAAATTTAGGATTTTCACAAAAAAGGACTCTATTAACGAGCAAAATAAATTTAGAATTTACACAAGAAAGAACTCTACTGACGAGCAAATAAACTCTAGAATTTACACAAAAAGGACTCTACTGACTAGCAACTTAAATCTCTAATTTACAAAAAAAGGACTCTACTAACGAGTAAAATAAATTTAGAATTTACACAAAAAAGAACTCTACTGACGAGTAAAATAAATTTAGGATTTTCACAAGAAAGGACTCTATTAACGAGCAAAATAAATTTAGAATTTACACAAGAAAGAACTCTACTGACTAGCAACTTAAATCTCTAATTTACAAAAAAAGGACTCTACTAACGAGTAAAATAAATTTAGAATTTACACAAAAAAGAACTCTACTGACGAGTAAAATAAATTTAGGATTTTCACAAAAAAGGACTCTATTAACGAGCAAAATAAATTTAGAATTTACACAAGAAAGAACTCTACTGACGAGCAAATAAACTCTAGAATTTACACAAAAAGGACTCTACTGACTAGCAACTTAAATCTCTAATTTACAAAAAAAGGACTCTACTAACGAGTAAAATAAATTTAGAATTTTCACAAAAAAGGACTCTATTAACGAGTAAAATAAATTTAGGATTTACACAAAAAAGAACTCTACTGACGAGCAAATAAACTCTAGAATTTACACAAAAAGGACTCTACTGACTAGCAACTTAAATCTCTAATTTACAAAAAAAGGACTCTACTAACGAGTAAAATAAATTTAGAATTTTCACAAAAAAGGACTCTATTAACGAGTAAAATAAATTTAGGATTTTCACAAAAAAGAACTCTACTGACGAGCAAATAAACTCTAGAATTTACACAAAAAGGACTCTACTGACTAGCAACTTAAATCTCTAATTTACAAAAAAAGGACTCTACTAACGAGTAAAATAAATTTAGAATTTTCACAAAAAAGGACTCTATTAACGAGTAAAATAAATTTAGGATTTACACAAAAAAGAACTCTACTGACGAGCAAACTGAATCTAATTATTAAAATCAAGAAAAAGAATTCTACTGATAAGCAGAATAAATCTAGAAATTAAAATAGAAAAAGAACCTCTACTGACGAGCAATTCTGCTTTCTAATTCTAGAAATTAAAATTAAAATGGACTCTACTGACAAGCCAATTGTATCTATAACTTACACAAATTAATTTTGTCAAAAATTGTGATTTTCATTACTATCACAATGCTTTTTAAATTCTACAGAAATTTTGTAAAATAAGAATAATTAAATTTTCAAATTGTCACTATCACTAAAATTAACAATTTTGTCAAAAATAGTGATTTTTATCACTATCACTAAATGTGATCAAAAATCAAATTCTGCAGAAATTAAAAAATTAAAAGTAGAAGTTTTGGTTTAAATTTTGTACAAAAAAATTAGGCAAATTTAGTTAACAGCTATCATTGTGATTTTCATCATCACTATCACTAATACTCTCTAAGTCTAAATCGTCCCCAAACTCCATGCTTTCTACTAAAAATCTCTCACAATCAGTAAAAATCTCATTATTATTCTCATCAAAACTTTGCACTAAATAAGGGTTCCAAAAAAACCTGAAAGGAACCACCAAATCTTGCAAACCACCAAAAATAAAAGCACCACCAAAGGTAAAAGTATCATCAAAGGTAAAAGTACCACCAAAGGTAAAAGTATCATCAAAGGTAAAAGTACCATCAAAGATAAAAGTACCATCAAAAACCTACTTTGATCACTAAAAAAAGTACCACCAGAGAAAACCTATCATCATCTGGTGGTTGATACACTCCTAAAAATCGGTCACCACCAAAAAATCTACCATCATCTGGTGTTTGATACATTTCTAAAAATTGGTCATCATCT